TCGACACCCACATTTTGTGTTCGGAAGCCGAACGGCAAGTGGCGTATCGTTCATGCTTCCAATAAGCTTAACGCTGTCACCATTCCGGCACAAACGCCAAGTCCTAGAAAGGATGTTCTTCAGAACAACATGCTCGGGTGTACAAAGTACAGCGCAGTTGGCTTGGTCGATGGGTATTATCAATTGCCCATGAGAGCTAGTGTGTTCCCGCTGACAGCGGTGAGCACTCCGAGCGGCATGCTCTGGGAGTGGCTGATGATGTTCCAAGGACTGTCAAATGCACTAGAAACATTTAATCGTCTTGTGACGCAGTAGTTCAGGCTCCAGTGGGCGAATGCACATACATTCTTTGACGACATTTTCTTTCACATTCGTGCGGAGCACGGAAAGACGGATGAGAAGGACCATATTGTCCATTCAAGAGCGGTGCTAGAGTGCATGCACACGAACAAACTGCATGCCAATGCAGACAAGTGCATCTTTGGCGCACAAGAGATTCCCTTTTGAGGGTGCTTCATTGAGAAGCGTGGCATCCGAGCGGATCCCGCTAAGGTCAAGGCCATTGTAGACTGGTCGCGTAAGTGGCTTGGTCTCGCCAATTACTTGCTCAACTACAGCGTAAATTACGCAGAAATGGCTCGGCCATTATCCAGTCTCCATAAAAAGGATGCGGAATGGTGTTGGAACACCGAACATCAGGAGGCTTTTGACAGATCATAGACAGCCTCCTACATGCACCAATACTGGCGCTGCCAGACCCGATCGTTCTTTCAGCGTCGTCTGTGACGCTTCGGACTTTTCTAACGGCTGTGCACTGCGGCAAGCAGACGCCGAGGGGCGAGATCGGATGATCGCGTTCGAATCCCGACAGCTCAAGCTGCAGAGAAGAACTACGCAGTTCATGACAAGGAGCTACTTGCAATGAAGTATGCACTTGTCAAGTTCAGGGTCCACCTGCTCGGCTCCAAACGGTTTGTGATCTACACAGATCATGCGTCATTACGCACTACGACTCCTCTCGCAGAGGATGGCTAGATGTCTATCTTTCTGTGCGGAATATAACTTCGAGGTGAAGTGTAAGCCGGGAAAGCAGAATGCTTCGGCTGGCGCGTTGTCACGCAGACCAGACTATGATCTTGTTCATGTTACAACTGTAGCGTCGTCTGTGAAAGATTTGATCCGCACCGCGTATGCGGGTGATGATATGTGCGTACCGCTGCTACGGTCTCTCGGGAACAAGGCGTTTGGTAACTCGGACAAGAAGTTGTCGTCGCAATTGCGCACTCAAATGCTCTGATATTCATATATTACCGGGTTGCTGTATTATAGCACCGACTCGACGGATACGTCACGAATTGTAGCTCCTTACGATGAGGATGTAAAGTAACATATCCTCTGTATGGCCCACGACACCCCACTCAGTGGTCATCTAGGTCGTGAGAAGATCTACAGCTCTGTGCGTTGTCTCTATTGGTGGCCCAAGATGTACAAACGAACAAGCATATATGTGCGCACGTGTGAGACGTGTCAAAGAATAAAAGCCTCTCCATATGCGGCGGCGCCTCTGGCCAGTTTGCCGGTACCTTCCGGATGTTGGCAGTCCACGAGTATGGACTTTGTGTTTGGCCTGCCAAAGGACTCGGCGGGCAACACGGGTGTGGTGGTCCTTGTAGACCAAATGAGCAAGATGGCTCATCTTGTGGCCGTGCCGGACACCATCACCAGTGTGGGCAAAGCGGTGATGTTTGTCAATCGTGTCTTTTGACAGCATGGACTCCCGGAGTCAATTGTCTATGACAGAAACCCGCGCTTCACTGGGAAGTTTCGGTCGACAAATTTCAGAGTGCTAGGTACCAAGTTGCCTGTTTCAACAGCGGACCATCTGCAGACCGATGATCTGGCTGAGCGCGTGAATCGGGTCGTTGAAGACGTTCTTCGCAGCGTCTGCCCCGAGACATTGAAGCGCTGGAGCGCCATGTGGTAGCGTAGAATCTGAACAATGCAGTGCATTCATCTACCGGCTAAATGCCGTTATTCTACGTAAACGGCCTTGTTTATCCTCGCATCCGCTGACGCCGCCATCCCATGGCTCAGTACTTGGTGGGGAAGGAATAGCCTTACGGCTAGCTGATGTCAGCCCACTCACTGTCTGTAAAGAAGTCGATTACTTCCTGTCAACCAGACTGAGTGTCCTACGACACGTTCGCAATGCAATGGCTGAAAGCCAATATATGCAGAAAGAATATGCAGATGGAAGAAGCAGAAGAAATCTGTGAGAATCTTTGAGGTTGGAGACCTGTTTTATCAAATGCTTAAAACCTTCCCACACATGCAGTCTCTGCTGACTTTAAGACGACGATTAGTCCACGGTTTATTCAACTTTTTCAGGTCGTGGGCAAGATAGGCCTTGCGTATACGCTAAACCTTCTGAGAAGGATGCGCACCCACCTTAGGTTTTATATAGGCATGCTTAAGCCAAACCGGGATCTGGCGCAAGTGACCGTGGGAGCGTTGGCGCTGGGGCGGGGCCCTCAGGTGCTCGCCCACCAAGACGCTTAACCAGCAACTGGTTTTGAGTACAGAGTGCCACGATTTCCATCTCCAACGGCGCAAGGCGCTTAACAAACGCACGAATTGACGTATTCGTCTGATCAACGGCTAGGAGTCGCTCCGACAGAGCGCGATAGTCCTCAACGTTAGGTAGTCGGTGCAAAAGGGCTCCAAGCTCTTGAGGTCTACCGCACAGCGGTGTGTAACTTCAGCATGGTGCTCAGCAGATCCCCGATCGCGACGGAGCCTGTCTTAAAAAGCTCGAACAGCATCACGAGCCATCGGACGGCGATCGACTAAGTCGTCATCGTCCGCCGCCGACTCTTCTTGACGAGAACGGTGGCGTCCGCTATCACGAGGAACATTTTGCGAGTCGACGTCGTCGACAGGGTCAAACCCAGTATCTGGTGAAATGGCTGGAATATCCCGACTCCGCGAACTCTTGATAATATAAGGTGCCACTTTGGAAGACTGTTTAGACATCATGGGCGCTTATGATCAGAGCGATCATGAAGTTCAGCGTCGTCGTACGCCCGCGCTGCTCGGCAGTTGCCAGGGAAGCCGGAGGGCCATGAGCTGGGCTCAAGCTATGGCCCTGAGCTGCTGCAGTCGTCGACTCACCCATATAAGAGACCACAATTCTCGCGGGGGCGTGATGAGTTAATCCAGACGTCGCAGGGTGATAATTTTGAGGAAGTCGGCGTTGCACCATGAGTTTGGCAAACTCGAACCGAAGATGGCGTTCCACGCGCACGTTCACCTCCTTGTGGCTCCGCTGTAAGTTGGAAAACGAGGAAAGGTTTCGACGCCGCTGCACCAAATGCTCAAAGGGCTCTTCTCCATCTGCAGCGGTTTTACCAGGGGCGAGCACCGCGAGCACCACAGGAATCGTTCGCATCGCAGTTACAGGAGCGCCTCCAAATTGAGCGCGAAGTCGAGCGCGGTTCCTATCCATTTGGATTTCTTGATCTACCAAGAAGCGATTCTAAAAATCTTTTCGTTAGTCAAGCTCAGCTTGAGTAGTGTTTGGGGGCGCAAACACGTAGGCGCCCAACGATCGAGCAATCGTGTCCTTCACATCTGTGCGGATCTGCCGAGCGGAAGCCGTATTCTACGCGAGGGTATTGGATTGGCCTGGAATTGCGCACATAGCTGCCCTGCGGGTAGCCTCTACCTGCTGCGCCTGTGCCTCGTAGGGGCGATTGGCAATGATACCATTTCTCCCGATAGTCGAGAGGTCAGGAAATGGACAAGGTGTCCGCAAGGTTTGAGCGGGCTATCGTCGCACCTCTTTACCCATCCTGAAAAAGGTGGAATCGACACGTAGTCGACTTCCTCCGAATCCTTGACGAGGTAGTCCATCGCCCGCGGCGGGCGCGGAGCGCAGTGATCGATTTTGGACGACTTGGGATGCGCTTCCATTGAAGCCGCGGGCGTGGAGCGCAGAGATCGGTTGTTGAGGGCTTTTATTGAAGCCGCGGGCCTGCTGCTTGA